GATCTTATTTCAGATTGTTCCGTAAACGAGTAAACTTGTATGATAGACCATGGATCTTTGAACCCCGGTAGCTTTATATTCATCACTGCTATGCGCTCTGATACTCCTATGAAGCTCTCCACATAATTTGTAAGATGCTTTTTGATAATGAAACCAACTCCGTATTGACCTGGGGTTGTTCCGATATGGTAAAGGAGGAAGTCTGGATGGGAAATAATTCTTTCCCCCATTCGCCTTACTTCACTCAGGCCAACAATGTCCCATTTAATCTGCTTTAACGCATATGATAATTCTGCAAGGTTTTCATCATTTTTCAATGTAAGCACATTGAGGGCTGCAATATATATCTTTGATTTTCTTTGGATGTTTTCATGATATTTTTTCTGTGTTGTTGGAGGGTTACGGTCGCTATCCCCCACGAGGACCAGTCGGCTTGGGGGAGATTGTGTTGTTTCTATTGTTTGGTTTTCGTGATTTGGTTGGATTGTCCGTTTGCCGGTTGTCGATTGCTATAGTTTATTATGATTAGAGCCGCCAGAGAGCGAGTTTGATCGGGTTCTCATCAAATCGAAGGCGTTTGTTCTGTTAGTTTTGATAGAACTTATCGTTTGTTGTTTCTTAGGATTGTTAGTTGACGATGATTGTGGTGAACTGGATAGTTCTCTTTTCCTTTTGTCGGTGTTTGGTCCTTTAACTATCAGTTTATCTTATTTCATAAAAGCAATATTTCCTTTTTTCTTCTCCTCTAGTAGCTGTGGTAGCAGAGCCTTTCTCTTCTCTATTACTTCCTTAGAATAGTCTTCTGCTATAAAGATTCCCTTAAGACTTTTTTTATTCTTTACGATTTCATCTTTTTTCCATCCGTTTGTAAATGAGAATAAAACAGGTCTATGTTTGTTCTCATTTCTTTTTCCCAAACGGTACAATCTGTTCATTTCATTTTGTTCCACAGATAAATCTAAATCTCTTTTAAAAATATCTTTAACATTTTGAAACAGCTCTGATGTCGATTTTTCACTCTCCTCCAATCCATAAATAACTATATTGTTACTTCTCTTCTCCTTTTTTAAATATTCAATTTCGTTCTCCAGGTTACTGATTTTTTGTTTTAATATTCTATTTTCTTCAATCATAGGATTAAGTTTTTCTTCCATCCGATCCATTATATTTTTCGTAAGCGATTCTTTGAGATCATTTGACTGTTTTTGTATTTCTATTTTCATTTTATCGAATAATAATTGAAATTGTTCTTCCATGTTGACAAATGAACTTGTGTGAAACGGAACGTAAATGCGAGTTGGTAGAAAATATTTGTTTGTAGTGGCAACACTCAGATAGTTGTCCGTCTGACCTACTGACAGTTCAGTCTAGTTGTCGTCTGTCTGTCGAGTTGACGTTGAATGTCTGAATGATAATAATCAAACTGTCAAATTTTTAGTATTTCTACAAGTAAAGAAACCACAAAAAGACAACCATCTAGCTGGAATCGAACTCGCTACAAGTATACGTAAGCACAATTCCTAAGATAGACCGACTTGCATTACGTATAATAAAACCGCGTACAGTCGAAACTGAACTAAAAATTAAGCACATTGAACCACATGGGGGTTAAAACTAGGTCTTTTTACTCAAGGCTTCCTCTAATTCGTCTAACAAGACAGCCTTACTTACAGTAAAAAGTTCGTTGAAAGATAAATCAAAGAAAACAGCTATTCTGAAGAGTAACATTTTCTACGAGAATTTTTTATTTGAATCTTGATTATTCCATTGAGGCACTATTATGTAAATTAAAAACATTTTGAATTCACTCGTTCACTGCTGAGAGCTAAAACATTTTCGCGTTTATTTCAACATCGAGGGCTGTTAGGCTTCTAGAGAATACAACATTCTTTTTCATAGTATGAATATTTTATATCTGTACATAAAAAATAACAAAGTAATAGGTAGGGAAGTATTGTACCTCTATCTTTTTGTATCTGACTGACAGACTATTATTTATTTTGTATTTGTTGACGTTTCAAAAGTACCAAATTATGGTTTAATTGAAATAAATGATTTGACTTTGACTTTGACTATGTATAATGTTTGGTTTTGATCCAGAAACTTTTTGTTTTTATATCAGTTTTATCGAAATCTTATATATAAGTAACATAATCAATATTGAGAAGATGTCAAATGTGGATAAGGGTGAAAATTACTATTTCGGAAATACTAGACTAACCTCAGATCTAGGAAAAATTACGAACGTCGTTTAACTTTTAATCAAACTATTTTTATTGTTGTTTTATTTTTCTATTGGATCTGTACTATTCATATTTTTACAGTAAACTAGAATTACAGAGCGTCAAGGTAAAAATTCGAAATTCTTCCTAGTAATAAAATACATAAAATTAATAATCTCAAACAATGTCTTACCTGGATAATAAATGGCTTCTTTTCTAACGGCATACTTTGCCTGTGGTATTCTTAGCGTACAAATGAATTCTGCCGGTGAAGGTAGGTCTGCATCATTGAGTGTGACGGACGATACTGCTGAGTACCTTCCGTTGACTAGTTGCACTTTGTGGTCCACTCCTTGTAGATGTCTGGAAATAAATAGAAGCGTTAAGCTGAAGTATTAAATTTAAAATACATAGTTTTTTTGTTGCGATCGTTGCATACCGTTGCGACTCTTGTAAGCCTGGATCTACAGTAGATCCAACCATGAAAATATCAAAACGCTGAAGTCTGGCGCGTCCCAGAGACACGTATAAATGTCTTGGTTCCCGCAAGGAAATAAATCAGAAAACATTTTAAGAGGAGAAGCAAAAAATACATAGTTTCATCAGTAATTGGCTCTTGTATATAAAAGTTTAAAAAATGCATTTATTTTTAAGCACTTGTATCTTTTAGCACTCTGTATCAACCAATAATATTTTTTACGAAGTTTATTATTCCTGAATTTAATTAGAAATCAATAGATCAACGAACTTTTCAAGGCATGACTGAGTTTTCTAATGTAAGTTTGTACGTAAGTACTAAAGTATCGGAATTTTCTATGGAATGAGCCGGGAAACTCATTAATTTGCCCTCCCGTTACCTCACATGACGAAATTCAACTCAAGGTGTTTTTCAAGTCGGTTTTCTGTAAGGCCGTGGTATCACTTATCGTATCAGCAAACCAAAATAGTCGAAGAGACAGTTCTAATCTTTCAAGTATTTTTTACGCAAACAGCAACCAATACCGACATACAGAAAACCGCCATAACATTATAATAACGGTCCTTTTATATTTAATCCTGATATATTATCCATACTTTAGCTGGCCGCGACTATAAATTTCGGGTTAATGCGGCCCAACTCAATTGGGACTAATATTTAAGTGTATCAGCGCTATTTGAAGCTATTCCGATCTTACGTTATAGTCCACTATTTTATAAGTCAATAGGCATCCATCTTGTTTTGGAGCTCTATTTGCGAAAAGTTTATATTCAGCCTATTTTAAAAAATAACTATATACTGAACTCGGTGAGTTGTATGACTTACAAAAAGGGGATCCTTCCTGGCATAGCTTTAAGGAAGTCGTGTTAATTCGTTGAACAATTATGTGAGTAGGTAAACCATTTAACATGATTAATTTAAAATGTCTTTTGATTGTCACTTTATTAGTACTAAAATATATTGTTTGAAATCAATAGAGGAGAGGAGTTTCAATTGTTTGAAACAAACACTAGGTACTTGGCGATATTATTATTTTTTTAATCTATCTAATGAGGTCATACTGTTGAACCCTGTGATGTGAGTATCAAAATTAAAAACTTCAGAATTATTCCTCCGTAAGTGCATAAGATAAAGTCATTTTGCAAACAAACATTATACGTACGTTTTTGATTATCTACTACTTTTTACGACCCAGTAGAGATGATACAACATTCAAATTCGTTGTCAGAGTTTAAAACTTCTGACTATTCATAACGACTGACATAAATCTTCGTACGATAACCTAGAAAGCTGGTTTACGTGCTTCCTTCGAGACGTGCGCGAAAGAATTACCCCCAGAAACATGTACTGCTGGTAATTTTGGTGTAGTATTATTCTAAAATGCATTTTTACTATAAGTAAGAATAATATATAAATATAAATATATAAGAGCTATTTAGTTTAAAAGGTAATGGTGTGGCAGTAGTTACTTAGATTTTTTTTAAGGGAGGAAAATCATCGAATGACTGCTCCCGCCTGGGCGAGGCGGGAGGGAGTGTTAGACTCTTACTGACTAAAAACCAACCCGTTTCTTCTTTTGCACTTCGAGCCGGAGCTCCGATAACCCGTTAGGTTCTCCGCGACACTTAGTATACTTTATTATGACACTATAAAATATAAAATAACTGGCTTCTGGCTGACTTCATACGCGCAATTCCGTTTTATCTCGTTTCCCGTTCCCGATTTTCGGTAAAATGTAAAAAAAAAGTATGGTAAAAAAGGATCCTATGTCCGTCTCCTGGTTCTGAGCTACCTCCCCACCGATTTTCATTCAAACCAATTTACCTGTTCTTGAATTATAAATAGTGTAACTAACACAATTGTCTTTTATAATACACTAGCCCGCGACTTCGGAAGCGCAATCTCGTTTTTTCTCGTTTCCCGTTCCCGATTTTAGGTGAGGAGTAAAAAAAAGTATGGTATAAAAAGTATCCTATGTCCGTCTCATGGTTCTAAGCTACCTCCGTACTAATTTTCATTAAAATCGATTTACCTCTTCTTGAGTTATAAATTGTGTAACTAACACGACTTTTTTCACGAACTATAGATATATAGATTTAAGGTTATAGCTAAAACATACAGACTCCCTACAAATTCTAAATATAAAACAATTTGTATAGTACAATATAATTTTACTTTTGACATTTTCTTAGAATGATAGATTTCTGAAAATTAAACATAATCAGTAATGTTTTGTGGCACTTTTGTAGTTAAAAGTTATTTTTGTTCATATTCAAATTACCAGTCTAGGTATAATTGTATGCTTAGGTACTCGATGTTTATGTATAAACGAACCTATCCATTGTCACCCCTTCAAGCTTATTTTAGAGCAAGGACGTATCGGTTTTCTAATTATACAAAACCAGTGTTCTGAAGTAAATAAGGTCTATTTTTGCTTAGCCTACATGCGCCTGAATTAAATTTTACTTAGCTTAGTATTTAATATAAATCTTGAAGTAAAAAATATACTTAAGAATGTACGTAACCTATTTCCAATGTGATTATGTTGGAAACTGACCTGAATTTTCATTTTATTTTAATCCTTAGATCGGATGGTACTTACGGCAGGTTTTATTTTTCATTTTACAACCTTTATTTGAGAGCATAGAGTTCAAAATAGTAGATCATATTCACATGAGCCATTCTTTGTTTAACATACAAAAAAAAATATATTTTACTATTGGCGAATAACAAGCACGCTGTTACATTACAGTGACTATTCACACTTAACATCAGAATACAAATGTCTGTATTTGCGCCAATCTTATTTGAAAGGAACAAAAGTAATTTCGAAAATATAGTTTTGTCGAAGACAGTGGGGATACAACTTATAACAAATGTAACCAGTCGGATTCTGGACAATCTTGCTTCGAAATATACACGAACTTTTTATTTGTTATTTAGAACAAATGACTAATAATTTATCTATGTAAAAACATACATTTTCACACAATTCATTTACATGAATATATCTAACTAGCTACTTCCGCGCGGTTTCACACGCTCTGCTCAACTCTTATTGGTCGTAGCGTGACGTTATATAGCCTATAACCTTCCTCGATAAATGCGCTATCCAACACCAAAAGAATTATTCAAATCAGACTTGTAGTTCCGAAGATTAGTGCGTTCAAACACACAAACAAAAAAACAAAGTCTTCAGCTAATACTAGTATAGATAATATTTTACGAATAATTAATTCAGATACATTTACCTTAAGCAAAAATTCACCAACAATACTTTTAGGTTTAACAAACATTTAATATTGTTCTATCATCATCTTATTAAAATCCTTTCCACAATTATTCAAGAATGTTTCAGACAGAAAAAGAACACAAAACGGTAATGTTTATTTTCTCCAAGATCCACAAAAGCATGATAATGAGAAAACACAAGAATGGGCCAACATTAACAGACATCTCACATAATTTAATTTCCAAATTTAGCATCGCTCAAGGCTTTAAATGCAGATAGCTATAATTAAATTTTCCTGCACAAATATTTAATTTTTTCTTTGCTCCTCATCCATTGCCTGAAGTATAACAAAAACGAATGCATATTCCGACTTTTTTACTCAACTTAATAATGCGTTGTTTTGTCTCAAAAGATAGGAAGTAAGCAGTAAAAATCACCGCAAATAATTCAAAGCTCCTCCAAGTCTATGTTCGTAGTTTTTAAAACATTCTCTTTTGATTAAATTTTGTTGTTAGTTTCAAGACATATTTCCCTTAGGAGTGAAAACTTCATTGTTCCCGGCAAATATGTGGTCGCCGCTTGTAATGTTGGTTACACGAAGTTAAATTAGAAAGTTGAGATCGTTTTAGTTTGTACATTCATTATAAAAAATATTTGTCTCTTGTTTCTCTAAGATTGTTTTCGGTGTGAGTTTCTGCGAGTTAAAACATTTATGCTTTAGAAACATTTGGGTGTTATATTTGACACTGAAACTTTGTACTTGCGTTTTCGAATGCTTAAACGTAACAAGTTTACTATCTTAGCTACTATAGAGTTAAATATTAGAACTGTTAATACACTTTTACGTACCAAAATACGTACTCAAACATCTTATACATAAGTAAGTGATCCGACGCCAATGTCCCATGAGGATGACCCAAGATCCTAACATTCCTTTACCTTCTGTGATTTCCTGCACGTTCCTAAATTATTTATTACCATGTTCATTACCTTCACCATACAACGTGAATATGGTATAACCTAGTATGCTAATAAGAAAACTAGGTGGCCAAAATGAAATTTTTTAGCAAAGCATATTTTATAACCTGGAGCTTGGCAGGTGAACCACCTGGTAGCTCAGGTCGACCAAGTTTAATCTTAGCCTCAAAACGTTGCCAAGTTCTTTTATTCTTCTACGATCAATTGTTCAAAATGTGATATCAATTTAAGGTGAAATCCTTTGTGTTCCTGTTTGAATTTTTAAACGCTTTTTTATTTAATTTCGATTTTGAATTTATTGCAGATTAACTGGAAAAATCTTAACGTTTTGTATTGAATTTGTTGCAGAACAGCAAACTTTGATACTTCGGAAAACAATACAAAGAGGTCAATTTATGAAATATATATCGATATCATTAACGCAATAACAGCATTACCCCAGTTCTATGAAACAGACAATTAACACGAATTCATTTAACAATGGAACTAGGAAACAATACAGAACTAAATACCATGAAGCGGTTCAAATCCCAACGTTTCGGAACATTCCATATCAAATTGCGCCCAGCACATTACATGGACACTCCCCGCAATGCGGTCTCCATGTTCTACAGTTGGTAGCTTCATACGTCAGCGTCCACCATCTAACATTGACACCTTGCAGAGATGTCACACAATCCTACTACGTACGTATTATGATCAATAATTGTAGGTAAGTGAGGTCTATCTAAAATTGTCGTCTCGCTTCCATATCAAGAAATTGGAAATGCTGAGATCGTGAATTGTTTAGTCTTGCATAATTTCTATTGTTGCGATGTTAAATAAGTTTAGAATAGGACAATTGTGACCGATTAAATGGATCTATAATTACAAAATTCTTCACTGGCTCTTGCAAGGAGCAGGAGACTATTTAAAATCATCTCTCTACGGCCAATAGCTAGCATATGGCTAGGTACGAATGGGCCCGGCAGATCTACCTGAACATGATATCTGACGCAAAAAACTGTGTATCTATGGCCGAATAAGGCACGGATAGACACACAGACTTTACCCGGCATGTACCCGTTCCGGCCAATCTGCAGGCCACAGATTTGGCTAGCTTATAATTGTCAACAACAACATAACATCATGCCTTTTATCCCCGAAGGGATAGGCAGAGGTGCACATTACAAAGTCCACTAGTACTTTACCCGACCCGGGAATCGAACCCGAGACCCCCCGCAGTCGCACTTGCGAACACTTGGCCAACGAGGCAGTCAACTTATAATTATCATAATTTAGGTAATACAAGACAAAATATATTATATTCACTCACTTTTCTGGTGTCGCTATAGTAAGGTTTGGCGCAGGGAAGGCTCCGTCCGCTGCACAGATGACGTTGACCGTGTCGTCATCCGTCTTGTTCTGGATTAATCGAAAACTCGTCTCCGGCACTGAAATTTGATAGTTATTGTTATGCATTTATATTTTAGTTTTGTTTGTTTGTGGTATGGTATTGTATTCGAGTACGTCATTGTGTAAAATTCGTGTAGCTTTTCTGTACGCTAATGTTTTGAAATATGTTGAGTGATGACCTAATCATTTCTAAAAAATGTAGAGTTATTTAGCTTATCTTTCTTAAATATCTCGTGAATTTGATATCGATTTTGTTACGTTTTCCCAAAAATATTGAAGAGAGCCATACTTCATCATGAATGGGCCAGTTCGACCGCAGTGATACCACGGCCTCACAGAAAACGGACGTGAAACAACACTTGCGTTGTGTTTCGTCGTGTGGGTGAGGTTACCGGAGGTCCAATATCCCCATACTCCGACTCAATCACCCTCAAATTCCTAACGCCAAAATACCGATAACTTGTAGTGTTTCGTCTTCTTCTTCTAGTATTCCAGGTGTCCATGGGCGACACCGATTGCTCACCATCAGACGATCCGTCTGCTTGTTCACCGACTTATTCCATAAAAAAGTAAAATACCCCTCAAACCACAATTCAATAAAATCAATTCGTCAATTTCATTACAAAAGCACAACAAACTATCAATATTCCAAAACACAATAAAAACGAAAACGTAAAACAGTTTGTGTATAGTAACAGGTTGTAAAATAACGGTTAACGATCCCTGTTAAGTTATACTGCCCTGAGTTAACTTCTATATAACATTCCTCAAACACGCAGCTGATACCTTTCTCCCTCCTAAATGAATTGGCCAAGTGCATGTCAATTGGAAATTAGGTTGGGAATTGGGCCAAGTCCCACAATTGTGGTTTGTAAATGTCACTGTTTTAGTTTGTATAACTTGTATTAATGTGTTAAATGACCTTTATTTTTATTTAAATATGGTTTTGGATAAAGCTTGTTATGCAATAGTCTAAAATCTACTGTGAGAGTTTGAAATAGATGTGTATAGGTTAAATAAAAATAGTCATCTTGAAAGAAAGAAAAATATTTTATTTGCCATTAGGCATGATGCACCAACTACACAAACAGAAAATAATAAGACCAAACTACAAAATAAAAATATATGTATTAAAAAAACTCATAAAAAAAGAAAAACAAGGTGACAACATGCCTATTACAAAAGGGCTTGCTAAATCAGTATGAGCTGGGCACAGTAAGCCCAACACTGGTTTTAGTTTATTATACAGAAAACTTATTTGTACTAATACCAATTAAAATAGCGGAATTCTCAACACTTCATATTGTAATTGAGTAGAAAACTTAATACTGATTTAGAGTTCTCAGCAGTTTTTAAAATCTTATTGAAACGTAACGTACATACTTTTTTTTAGGGGAGATTTTGTTTGATGTGTATGACTGGAAAATAAGTAGGTTTAAGTCAATTAAACTGGCCTCCTCTTTGTACTCTCCTAGGTGAGAGGGATTCATAAAAAGATTTCACATTGAGGTCTAAAAACATAAGATACTTCCTCCACGTAAAAAAATGACATACTATAGTATCCATTCAGATATTTGGAGCGTATTTAATGGGACACCATTACATACAGCTACATAACATCAGTCGTATATTTAATTCCGGGTTAATCTCAAACAATAACTGAATTCAATCCTCGTAAAACAGACATAAGGTTGACAATGGCACATCGATTAAAACGGATCGATAGCAATTGTTTACACAATTCATTAATGAAGAAAGTAATTTCATTCGATCAAAAGAACCATCGGAATGGAAATGTACGAACAAGGCCAACTAAATAATCGTGTAAGGCATTTTGGCTTTAGGCCAAAGGAAATAGATCCCTTGAGGTTATTTTGAAATGGAAAACAAAGGCGAATTAGTTTTAGACTCATGCTATCTAGACCTAGGGTTCATTTTGTCGTTATATCTACAAATGATCGAGCATTAATGATAATTTGTGTGGTCAATGACTCGTTTTCTAATCACATCATATTGATCATAAAAAATGTTAGTTACATATCAAAGCTGATGTTTATAGAGATTAAAATCCAACGCAATGTTGCGTTACAGTGATAATCTGATTGTTTTGAAAGGTCTCGAGTTTGTTTCCAAGTATTAATCGATTAATATTTTAAAGGTAACACACAATTTTTTATCCGATACACATATACAAAATCAATACAGACTTTAAAAATCAAAGCAGGGCAAAACTTACAGTGTTATAGATGCAAGTAAATACACAATAGTATAGAAGAGGCAATAGAAGACGAATAGTCAAAGTCAAAATCATTTATTTCAATTAGACCAGGAAGGCACAAAAAATTAAAATTGAAGCTATTTGTTCATTCCAAGATGTAGATTCGTATGGAGAAGAACGAGCAAGAAACTTCATATATAGAGGTAGAATAATAAAAGCAAAAAGTTGACTATGAGTACAAAATAATCAGATCTAACAAGAAGGCACCTGACTAAGCCATACAGCCAGACTAAGTTCCAGCCAGTTATTTATTGGGTTAATCAGTTTATCCTCATCAAACGACAGTACACAGCTACAGATCAAGCTATGTTTGACCAGTATAAACTGACCGTTGAACTCGCAGAAAGATCACACAAAGCCAGACCATGATAAATTAGATACGTATAGTTCCATGTGTTGTCGTGTGTACGCACACCAGCTACGGTTTAACCACATTACGGTAAAAGGGTTTAGATATAATGAACTTTCCGATAGCTAGTGACCACTTTAGACTAGTAGTTATTATAACAGTACATGGTACATAAGTCAATAAGTTAATTGAGCTATAAAATATTCATAATTGTACACTAGTGGCTCAAGTGTGTTGTGTCACAAAATTTATCATTTTAAAATTATTTTGCTAAAGTATGCACTGTTAAAACATGATATTTGACATCTTTCGTGAGACGTCATTTAAATAATTTTCAACGTAATTTGTTTTTTAGTTTGCCTCCATTAGGACTCAATTTGAATAGACTAAGATAATTTTTAAGTCATTGTTATCATCCTATTTTTTATTCTTGTTTTTATTTATATCCTCTTTTTCGTGTTACATTATCTGATTACAAGTGAAAGCGTAGTTATCAATTTTAATTGTCTAAAGGTCTTCTAAAACGAGGATTGAGGAGTAAGTGTAGAAAGTGGTCCCAAGAAAAAAAGATCATAAAATTAAATCATTCATTCTGTATAGTACAGAGCAAAAATCAAACTAATTTTAGATTTAATTAAAACGCAAGGAGAAATATAGAGAATATTTATAACGAAAGCTACATAGCAATCTAAACTTTGTTACAGATATTGTCAAAGTTCAAGTTTCATACATCAGTTAACACGCTAAACCTCAACAATGCGGTGTCAGTGGAATCTAGCGGTTCTATTATAGAGAAACACTTGACAGTTTTGATAAATATGTACTTGAAATTAGTTCATTTGAACTTGTATTGCGTACAAACTATTTCTTGGTAAGTTGTGTGTGAAAGGGCGTGAGCTAATCAATTGTAAATTAGTGTGTAACTAGCTTCTGCCGGCGGTTTCGTTAGCGTCCCTGTAGAATAAAAAGTGGCCTTGGTAACTTGTGTGAGACCATAGCCTACCCCGGTTCCAAAATTTATCTCAATCCCTGCAGCTGTTTTGACATGAAAAAGTAACAAACATACATACATACTTCCTCACAAACTTTCGTATTTATAATATTAGTAAGATGACACGCGGTCTATGAATCTAAAACATAAAACATGATTATTTTCTTTCAATAAAATTTTCTTTTTTGGTTAGAATCAGTAACCATTGCTTCTTAAAAAGATGTACTAAAAATTCGTTATTAATTCTACGAAAAGAACCCAAAATTAATTAACGAACTGATAGAAACAGATATAAGCTACAACAAACGGGAAACATACTAAGCAGAAATGAGGACTCTGTTAAAGTCTTTCTATCAAAGTACTATTTTTAACACACCAATGAAGTGCTGATTAGATTCTTTTATAAACTACGTTTAAAGGAACCGAATTTAACTCGTCGAGTACCGTCATTATAGACACAATTATAGAACAATAGGTTGCGGTCACCGGTGACCGCTTGGTGTTTGACAGTTTAACCCCCTGTTTTTAAGTAAAAATAAAGTCAAAATCATTTATTGCAATTATACCAGAAAGGCTTTCAAACGCCAACAAAAAATTCAAAACTAAAGCTATTGGCTCATTCCTAGGTGTAGATTCCTATGGAGAATAATGAACCTGGAAGTAATACACTAAACCTTTCTCCTAGGTGTAATAAACTTCCGATAACACACAACACTTTTCTCGGAATTGACTGCACGGTCGGTGCGGTGGCTGGGCAACCGGCTGCCGTGCAACGTGTCGCGGGTTCGATTCCCGCACGGAACAACACTTTGTGTGATCCAAAAATTGTTGTTCCGGGTCTGGGTGTCATGTGTACATGAACTTGTATTTTTGTAAACGCACCCACGACACAGGAGATAATCCTAGTGTGGGGCAACGTTTTGAAAAGAAAAAAAAAAGAAAAAAAGTCGGTTCAGCCAGTCCCGAGATAATCGTGCTCAAACATACATACCTATATACATACAAGTCAAACTGAAGATCTCTTTCCTTTTTTTGAAGTCGGTAAAAAAATATATATTATCAATAGTCCTCAATTTTCTAACAACAACCAAAATACGATACCCTACTTCCTAGGTAAGTACAAGACAAATAAAACGGTTTACAACAAAAAGGTCGACGATACAATACATGAAATCGAATGTTTTCCTAGCATGACTTACGTTCAAACTTTATGTAAGTTTAACACCAACATTTGAGTGTATAGTCTTGGCACGTGTGCTTCTAAGTGGAATGTATAGGGATGAAAATAGAACCGTGAACCCTTATAAAGGTTAGGATAATAGTTACAAGTGAGTTCTGTTTGTTTATGAATGCTAATATGATTTAAAAAATAGGAACGCTATTCGATAGTTTGTTTTGAAATCTTCTTTGCATGTTTACACATGTAAAGATATAAACTAAATGTTTAGCTAGATGTGTTGATGTATTAGGCACAAGCGCGTACCGCTCAGCTCCCATTTTCCATCAAAGACTCATGGGATTTTCGTTCTAAACATTTTAAAGAATAAGCTTTGAAGTTTCTTTGAAATACGTATGTACGAAGATACCTCTCCATTTGTAGTGGGAGTAATAACATAACTGATAGTCAGACAATTAGGAAGTCCACATCACCTTAGCTATAAAAAAGTTTCAATTAATTAAAAAAATCATCAACTTACCAAAGACAGTCATGTGTTTACTCTTAACATCTTCATCTAAAAACGTTGACACTACACAAATATATTCACCAGATATGTCCGTATCTAATTTAACTATTCGAAGAGCTCTGTACATTTTTAATGGATCATCTGAAGCTCTATAATTTAAGTCCAAACGACCCCTCAAAATGCCAATGTCCTGTGGCTTTTGTGACACTATCCACTGATACACTGGTCTCGTTTTGCTTCTGAAGAACCACTTCACCACAAGACCTGGAGTCCTGTTCCCGTACGTGTAATCACAGTCTAATATTACCGAATCTTGAACACCATACTGAATTATCTCTGGCACTACAAACTTCACTATTTTTATTGCGTGTAAACCTGGAACAAGAAGAGAAACATGTTAGAAATTGTTTTCATAATAAGGAAGGCTAATTTCAATAATTTAATGGTAATGCGATGTTCAAACATTAATAAGGTAGCTATTAATATTCAGGAATCTGCAAACATTCTCACGCTAGACCCAAGTTTAATGTAAATGAATGTAACGCAAACGGCTTCTCATTAATGGCGGACTTTGCTACAACGCCTGTTTACAGATTTATTTATTAGTACTAAAACAGTAAACACGAAAGATTGCTCCAAAGATAATAAACTTAAGTTAAACAGCGAATTCAGTGACTGACAACGTCGCATTAGCGTCGACAGCAACAATAATAAATCGGAACGCAATATTGACGGAAAGAGGGCATTGAAGCATTTTCTTGGTAATGTAAATGATTAATATTCATTGGACAGCAACAAACAATTTGCTGTAGACACGTTGTCCCCTCAAGTTGCTTAAAGAAAACTCACTCCAGCTAATCCATATCCATCAGTCTTGTAGTCCACGAACCATTAATATTTATGCAATTCCAAGTCAACGCTGTTGAAAGCTCATTTAAATTCATCCTTGGTCCTACTTAAAAGCGGGAGTAGGCACGACCTAAAAATTTGATTCGGTAGCACTTAAAATTTTATTAGTAGATGCTTCCGGAGTAAATACAGTCGAGTCAGTATTAAATGACAAATTCATAAAAAGAGGGCGCTGAGTGGGAGAGGTGGGAATTTGATATTCTGTTTTATTGTTTACAGGTACTGTTGTGATGTGAAGCGCGAATGGATCTACAAATTTGTTAGAGACAGGGCTGACAGAGAGTATAACATAATAGCCACTTAATTGTCAACCGGTACGTCTACAGCTTTCGATGATATCGAATCTCCTGACGTTCTAAATAGTCGGCTAATTTATGTCCCAGTTCAAAGATTTCTGATGTTAAAACAGTATAATTTAAACTGTTCTGTTTGATATTCCTCCCTTTTAGATGGTAAGTAATAACATTAATATTAAATTTACAGTAGATACGAATTTATTCAACTGTGATTGTTTGGAACAGCTATAATTACAATCATAACTTGAAACTCACATACGGTTTCTAAATCAACCTATGCTGCTTATGCTGAGAGAGAATGCAAGTTTAAAAATAGAGTCACCAAATTTTGGCTTTTCTCTTTGTTGACCTACTAAGAACCCGCAGAAATTCAAAACACGTCTGTTTCTCGAGATAGTGACGTCGTTACTTGCATTCTTCTGGTGGCAGGAGAGCACTTTCGTTTGCCACAGGACTTCAAAATTCACTAACGAGGTGACTATCCGAGTTGTCACATTTGAATGAAAGCAATGTGAGGTCAGCTGAACGTAGTTTGGGAGTCGTGTTGCGGTCACCAGACTTTCTAGTGACCATTGTTGCGAAGCGATAACGTCACCAACCCCGCACGACAACTCGCCAGTTTAGCCGAAAATACGAAATGAAAATGTTTTTAAACCATTTCGGTTTCAATAAAACGCAGATGTTTGTTCGACAATCTTGATTGTGGCAAGTTTAGGATTGTTTGTTGTTAAATGGAGCGTTAATTCCAAGATAAAGTTTTTGTGTTCAATTTTATTTTACTAACTCCAATTTAGATTTCTTTAAGTTAGTTCGTCCGCTAGCTAGTTTCGTGACCTTGACGGAAAATTCTTTGTGAATTTCAAATTCTGTTTGGATACTTTCATAAATATTCTGCACAAAAATTCTTCTGTTCATTTTTTTGTGACTGTGATCTAAAAAGTGTCAGGAACAAGTTCGGGTCAACATTATTATACAGCTATTCGTATCTTTAACTTCTTCAACGTTTTTGTGGCAAAGTTCGCTCTGTCATGACGTAAAGCCCCCGTTATCATGTGACAACAGCCGGGACCAGCGTTTTTTCTTTGTCGTATTCATTATAATATATACTGAGTGTAAAAGAATTATAAAAAGTTGTGTTTTATCGGAGTTTGTTTTTGAATAAGGGACTGAACTTTATTGTGACGTTTTTCGTTTTTATATTTTGTCTTTTATTTGTGTTGATATTTTTTTCATCCTGAATATTTATTTAGAGTATATCCTTTTACATTTTTGTTTGCTTTTATTGAAGTGTTTGGTAATAAAAGTTGTTCGTGGAAAGTTGCTTTATCTATTGAATTTGTTAGCTTATACAGCCTGAGCAATCTGAGTAAAATGTCTTTCAAATTCTCTAAGTTACTGTTATCACTAACACGAACATTTAACAAAAACAAACTTTAAACCCAACCATGCAACTCCCACAAGCCAAAAACTACACCAGCGACATCTACATCTCGCAAATATTTTCATTTAATTTAGCTTCTAATAATGTTGCATGCTGGTAAACCGTGTCTAACCAACTCAAACCCTGCAGGAAATCATAACAGCAAACCTACAGTGTTACAAGTCACACAGATACACAAATCTTGAACAACAGGGACATAGTAAACAGAACTGTTTCTTGTATCTAACACAGGATTGTCTAATTAAACTTTGTTAACTCATTTGCTTGGGTTTTGCCTTTGTGCAAAACACGTTCTCGAAAATTAATGTTAACTATTGAAGGTTTCATTGTATTGGCAAAGTTTGACGACAATATTGCTGTTATATTAATTTGTAGTATTGGTGTAATAGTTGGTTTTGTTTGATGTTGCGTGTGGGTATTGTATTTAAAATGGAATGATTTGCTTAATTGAGACACTATTTGTTTCTATGACATATTTTGAAAGTGATTTTTGGAGCTTATTTAATAGTTCTGAGAAACAATGTAAGTTTCAATTCATCAAAGATAAGAAATACAGTACCTACGAAGGAGGTTAAAAAAAAATCACTTCGAAATGATTGAAGCATCAAAATGTCAGTAGGTTTTTTGTGTGTGCGAGTGTAATAGGTTACTACGTTACCAGACTTAAGGAAATTGCAGAGATGTCCTCCGTATCAATGTGTTTACATTCAGCGTGTAACTCTATAGTAGCCAGGAGCGACAGTCGTTATTATAAGACGCTGCCTCTGCCTTTTCTTCAAAGTTCTTGGTACCTATATTAAATTTGTCAATGATTCAATAAAAACGACATAAATATCCTTTATGAAAAATAAAGACCTATTCAAACATAAAATGGGCTCAATCACATACGAATCTCAACGACCAACTAAACAAAAGTAAAAGAAAAAGATCCTTACTTTACTACTTATATTGTCTCGGACAATAGAGGATCCCTATCACAAATACTTACTGCGTATAACTTACTAAAACGACTTCTTTACTTCAAATAACACATTGAGATAGTCGAGTGACTCTATTCCTTTAGTTACATGAACGAAGTTTACTTATCGATAGAATAACATCACTATTTGAAACGCGTTATTATTTTTTAATTCGATTCTGAACCCTTCGATCTTATTTATATTTAATTTCGTCCGGTGAATACCGTAGGCATCGCATTTGTAACTAAAATCGAATTGGGGGCTTCGAATGGCATAAGGACGGATCAACTTTATCAATTTTCAACACAAATTAATTCGACTCGTATTTGCTGATCGTTCAATGTAATAGAATTGTTCGCTTTCAAAATTTTAAATTTCAAAATGTTTATCTATACTAATATTATAAAGAGGAAAGATTTGTATCTATTTTTGTATGTTTGTAATGAATCGTAATTTGTAATGAAGAACATCATAATTTCTATAAAAACTCCGCGGTAGCATATGTCCAACTATTGTAGTTATGTCACTACAACAATCCAAACCAAAAATAAATAATTGTCTACCCCGTGCAAAGCCGGGATGGGCTGCTATTTGAGTATTAAAATAAATATCAATTTCATTTCAATACTGTAATGTTAACATTCGTTTGTAAAGCATTTTTATTCATTTTTGTTTACACGTCTTTTTCTTAAAACCTTTTGGGGCTTAGAAGGCTTTGAGAGATCTAGTCTTGAAATGTAATTAAAACAAGATACAGTAATAAATATAAATCTTAAAGAAAGTAAAACATGTCGTAAATAAATAAGCAACGCCTCTAAGATATCTACACAACAATACTAAAATTAAACAAGAAAGTAAAGTATCTACAAGTTTATAATACTATGAGAACATTACCTGTAATCACATTAAATGTTTTCCAAGAAAATCAAAATAAGAAAACAGGACTAATAAGAGTTTTTCCAGGAAAATAACAAGGAACCTTCGCTAAATATTAACGTTAATACATTTAGAATCAACTGAACTTAACATGGGAACATTAGGACAATATTTTCGAGTTGGAAACGGCATCAAAAGGTCGCGATATATTTCCCAGAGGCAACCTTTGGGCAACTGGGCGGCTATTAATAATGACTCTTACTTGCGTATAGTACACATGGCTACATATCGACCTATACGTAACCAATTTATGATGAGCTCGCTTTATATTATAATTCTGTACATTCCACGGTCAGTTTATACTGGTTTTGTATAGCTTCATGCGTTGTTACGTGTACATGTATGTGACAGTAACGACAATGCTATTCCTGAGTCATTTATCCTGCTGAGTTTTTTTTTGTTTGTTTATTTACAAGTGCTTTTACCCCGACTCTAAGTGTACGTGAATGGTTGGTATTTTTTGAATTTTCGTCCTTACAGGTTTCGGGGAAAGGTTTCAAGTAGCCAGCACTTGATTTGATTATTTATATATTTGATTCAATAGGCTTTCTGGGAATTTTTACAATGCTAGAGGTAGTGATCGTATTTTAGGTTCATTTTTCATTGTAGTAGTTTAAATCTGTCTTTTATTGTTGTAAATATTTACTAGCTTTTATTGTAGTTTTAGTGTTAGACAGTATAATAAAATATTGTCGGTTATTTTATAGTTCTAGGAGGAAACCCTTATTCCATTGTAAATTTGGACATTGGACTGCACGGTTGGTGCGAGGGCTGGGCAATCGGCTGCTGTGCAACGTGTCGCGGGTTCGATTCCCGCACGGAACAACACTTTGT